ACAAGGGTGAAAGTGAAGTCTAGGATCTTTCGGGGAAGGAGCCCTTTCGGCCAATTAAAAAGGTGCGAAATATGCATTTGGATGGGTATTCGAAGGTTCCTCAAACAGGGGCGTGCTGAAGATGTAGTAACGCCTGTCCGAGATAGTACCAGCATCAGTATTTTCATCTTTAAAATTAGTTCGGTACTGACTTTAAATTAGACGGTCGAATTTACTCCACCGTGTAGATCTTATATTATCCAGTGATCTTTTTTTAATTGTTTTTAGTAAGTTCTCTATCTAAAGATTTTCTCAATTAAATTCTCAAGTTAGGGAAATTCTAATCTATTCATGCTACAGTATTTAATTTGTTGTTTTTGGATTTTCTAATATTTTTTCTTTATTAATGATTTAAGACTTTCTGTTTGTTCTAAAGGCTTTAGTAAATTTTAGATGTTATTGCATAAGTGATTATTTTGCAATTGTTCTTTTTATTAAATTCTAATTTAAATTTAATTGTTCAGTGAATATTTTTTTATATATTAATTTTCTGCCAATGATAATTCTAAGAGAGATTTGAAAGTGTATGCTAATTGTTGATAATTTAAATTGGACTAATAAGAAGAATATTTTGTATTTTTTTTAACTTTATTATCTCTGAGTTTTAATTTCAATTCTCTAATTGTCATTAATTATTTTTGATTCAATTTCTTTCTTTTTCATTAATTATAAATGTTTTGTTGTTAAATCTTTTTCTTTTATTTTTTATTTATTTATTTCTTTATATTAAATATAGCTAGGTGTTGTGAAAAAATCGGCATTTTATTTCTTTTATTTCACCTAATCACTAAAATATTAAGTTATTTAAAAGAGCACTGTGATAACCGGTCGAGTGGTTCAATCTTAAGAATGAGTCCAAGATCGAAGGGGTAGATCTACAAGGGGATCAACAAAGTCTTCGACAGGTTCTTGTTGTTGATGTATTGCTGATGGATGTTGACGTAATAAGGTAAGTGGCAATAGAGTTTATAGTAACTGAATTTAGAAAGAGCCCTTACCATAAAAGTGCGATGCCTTAATTTCGATCTTTAGCTGGTTATATTTTGTTTTTATATGTAAACGATAAACTATACGCTCTGAAAAGTCGGTGTTCTCATTATCCAAGTTCTGCCTACCGCTCAATAAAGTATTTTAATTATAATTATATAAAGGCCACACTACCATGATAACGGACAAAGTCTTGAAAGTTTTGTCACATTTTATATATTTTTGATAAAGGTTTAAACTTACCCTACTAATAGTGAACTCAGCCTATATTTTCTTATGCTGCACCTTTAAATTAGTAAATAACAGCATTTTTAACAAAATCGGTGACATGACCAAAAACCACAAATTTTCATGATTGATGAATTTCAAATTCTTTAATGAAATTGTCACAAATTAGAAAATTATTTTAATTTGCTATTTCCTTAACAACTTTAACTCTTTTTTTCGCTAACATCGGTATGCGCTGAGATAATATACCCCGTCAGTCATGGGATGAAGGAAAAAGAATACAGGGGCTGACGAGAAGAGATGAGAGAGGGGTAGCAAAAGGCTCTAAGCGTCCGGACCATCACCACCGAGAGAGGCGGCGGCGTGGATTCGGAAAATGACAGGCCGGAATGATTGATCTGCGAACTAATTGGATGATCGATGACTTTAGTTCATCAAGTGGCCCGTTTCGGCGAGGCACATCTCTCCTTCCTTCACCCCCGCGTGTCTCTGGTGTCGTCATTCCCCTCTTTACACCGCTGTACCCCCTGTTCTTCTCTTTCCAGAAAGGAATTGGGACGATACTGACTGGTATTTAGGTGGTGTGAGCCGAGGGCAGTGTAACGAGGTAAGCGTGACTTTGTAGTAAACAAAACGGTTGATAAATGATGGTTCTGAAATGGAATTAATATAAGGAAGAGTCCCATATTACTACGCTGTACCTACTTGGCTCAGATTTTGAATAAAGAACGATTTTTTAATAAAATTGCAATCAAGATGGCTGGTGTCGCCATGGCAATTTTCTAGTGACAGTTAGTAATTATTTTCGAGTCCATTTCAATAGTCCGAAAAAGTAACAAAATAAGCGTTTGTCATTTAATGTTTTGTGTAAAACTGGCTAGGTATTTTTACACAAATAAAGAAGGAAATTAAAAAGCTAGGTCCCTTCAGTGGGAAAATTACTATGGACCTAGTAATTTTCTATGGACCTAGTAATTTGCAGTAGGAAGTCACTAGGTCTCCGCCGTGGGGAAATCATTAGATCCCCGCAGTAGGAAAAACAGGAGGTTCCTGCAGAGGGAAAATCACTAGGTCCCTGCAGTGGGAAAATCACAGGATCCCTATAGTGGGAAAATCACTAGGTCCCCGCCGTGGGAAATCACTAGATCCCCGCAGTGGGAAAAACACGAGGTCACCGCAGAGGGAAAGTCACTAGGCCCTGCAGTGGGAAAATCACAGGATCCCTGCAGTGTGAAAATCACTAGGTCCCTGCTGTGGGAGAATCACTAGGTCCCCGCAGTGGGAAAATCACAGGATCTCTGCAGTGTGAAAATCACTAGGTCCCTGCAGTGGGAGAATCACTAGGTCCCCGCCGTGGGAAATCACTAGATCCCCGCAATGGGAAAAACACGAGGTCACCGCAGAGGGAAAATCACTAGGCCCTGCAGTGGGAAAATCACAGGATCCCTGCAGTGGGAGAATCACTAGGTCCCCGCAGTGGGGAAATCACTAGGTCCTTGCAGTGGGAAAATCACTAGGTCCCTGCTGTGGGAGAATCACTAGGTCCCTGCAGTGGGAGAATCACTAGGTCCCCGCCGTGAGAAATCACTAGATCCCCGCAATGGGAAAAACACGAGGTCACCGCAGAGGGAAAATCACTAGGCCCTGCAGTGGGAAAATCACAGGATCCCTGCAGTGGGAGAATCACTAGGTCCCGGCAGTGGGGAAATCACTAGGTCCTTGCAGTGGGAAAATCACTAGGTACCCGCAGTGGGAAAATCTCTAGGTCAACACTAGGTCCCTGCAGTCAATGCATATGTATATTTTTTCACTCAGTAGTTTTATACAGCTACGTACGAAAAGTTATTACTCTTCAAAATAGTTAAAATACATGTAGGTGGTGCCCCCTACAAATAGAGAGTCATATTTACATCAAATCCAAATTTCTCTTGTCAAAAAACTCCCAAACACCAATTTTCATCCAAATATTGACGTTACTTCAGAAATTATTTGGAATAAATCGAAATAAAAATAAAATTTCTACACCCTGTATCTCCGAAACTAAGCATTTTAGGACATACATTTAAACGATCTTTTTTACTTATTTTTATCTGCAGAATATGCTGCCAAAGTTTCCGGAATACAGTTCGGACCACCCTGTTTATAAATTTGTTTTTGCCTTTTCGATGAAAAAAAAATTCTTTCTCCCACTTTGTACTTCCAAATTCCGATAGAGACCTCTCCAGAGTGCGAGGACTATCGAGCGGCTTTCTCCAAGTAATAATAGCTCTGGAGACCGGGAGGGTCCAGTCGGGGAAGTCCTGTTAACCTGTCGTGCACCCGGGGGACCCCACGCCTATTCCCGATAAAATCGCTTGATATTTCCGATACATTTTATCTTTTGGTTTTTGTCCCTTAACTCGTCCCTTTAGCATTACATTTCCTTGGAAGATCGTGGAAATGCCGGGATAGCCGTTTGAATATCAAATAGTTTGGGATATAAGTCAACAAAAGGTTAGAACTCGATATAGACAGGGTGTTCTAAATTGTTTCCATTCGAGGATGACCATTGAAATCGTGGAAATCATATGATATTACGAAGGAGGTGAAATTATGGGCTATTTTTAAAAATATAGAGAGTTATACAGGGTGTCCCCAAAAAAAGTTACACATTAAAGTTTTTGTAATGGAACACACTATATATTAATTGATTTTCGGATTCTAGGAGAAAAATAAAGGAGAGTTTTATTAGAAAAATATATGACTAAAATGTAAGGTTTTTGACATCTATTCAACATTTTCTAAAAATAAAGAACAATTTTTAAATTACAATAAAAGCTATCCAAATTGGAATTTACCCGGTATAGCCTAATATGTAGTTAAATAACTATTGTACATTAAATCAAATTAAAACTTGACCCAAAAAGTTATACAGGGTGAGACAAAATTAATATTAAACATTTGTCACCTTTAAAAGCAAGTTACTCTTTTATTTTAAATGGAACACCCAGTATATTATTCCGATATTCAATGGAGATTTCATGTCTCTTCAAAATACCATTAAGGAAGCCTACCCCTCAAACAAAGATTTTCCTAGATATTTTCATTTACATGATTTGATCTGAGTAGATCTTTATTATTTGATAAAATCTAGGTGGCGGTGATATGTCTGACGTTACTTCAACATAGCTGTCTAATGAGTCCAACTTTAACAACTAGTTATCATTTTGTGTCCGTTAAAACAAAAAAAAATCTCAGAAATTTGCAAACTTATGATACATCAGACAGAAATGATATGATTCTATTAGTTCCAATTAATAGAATACTTAAATCCTCCTGATTTTATCTAGTCTGGGCTTTTTTATGGGGATATGTTAAAGACAGTGTTTACAAAACTCGACCAACTATTGTCGACAACATGAGAGAAATTATTATAGCTGCTTTTCGAGGTAGAACTCGAAGATCTACTGACGCAAAATCTACTCTCCAACCTTAATAATATTTTGAAGATATATAAATTCCCCATTGAACACGGAAAAAAATACCGGATGTTCCATTTTAAATAAAGGAGTAACTTGCTTTTAAAAGTGACTAATGTTCGATATAAATTTTGTCTCACCCTGTATAACTTTTCGGGTCAAATTTCAATTTGGTTTAACATATAATGGTTAAATGAAATACAGGGATATAGGGAATCCTGGATTGATTACTTGTCAGAACTATACAAATCAGAAGAAATAGAGGTTGAACTAAATACACCCGAAATAATGACCAACGACAACGTACAGATTGAGGCAGCCGATATAATTACATCCCTTCAAAAGCTAAAGAATAGGAAGAGCCCAGGGCAAGATGATATCCCCAACGAATTACTTAAATATGGCGGCCAAAGTCTCATACAGCAGCAAAAAATTCTTTACCAACACAGGATACCCGATGAATGGCGAACCAGCACCACTATCTTGATGTTTAAAAGAGGAGATAAGAAGCTGCCCTCAAACTATAGAGGCATAAATCTTCTAAGCACTACACTAAAACTTACGACAAAAGTGATAACAACCAAAATAAACGACTTAACATGCTTAGCAGATGAACAGCAAGGTTTCAGATCGGGCAGATCATGCACAGACGCGGTTTTTGTCATAAGACAGATAACAGAAAAATCAATCGAATATAACAAACCAGCGTATATGTGTTTTATTGATATAGAAAAAGCGTTCGACCGTGTGCAGCTAAGAGACGTTGTACACCTTCTTTACAATAGGCAAATCCCACACAACCTCGTTAAAACCATACAAAACATATATGAAGCGAACCAAATTCAAGCTAAAATTAACGGGGTCCTGACCGAACCAATAAATGTAGGCTGTAGTATCCGACAAGGTGACTCCCTGAGCCCTCTTCTTTTCAACATCATTATGGACGAAATAATAGGAAATGTACGTTTACTGAAGGGATACAGTATGGGCGACCAGGAAATTACTATTCTATGCTATGCTGACGACGCCGTATTGGTAGCTGAAAATGAGAACGATCTACAGCGCTTATTACATCGATTTAATTGCACTGCCAAATCACTTAATATGATAATATCGACCCAGAAAACTAAATGCATGACGACATCAAAAGTACCACTAAGATGCAAACTGGAAGTCGAGGGCAATGTTATTCAGCAAGACATAAAGTTTAAGTATCTAGGCATAGAAATCTCAGGATATGGTGATGTAGAAGCGGAGGTGCGAGAACGGACAACGAAGGCAACCAGAATAGCAGGATGCCTGAATGATACGATATGGCGAAATAAAAACATTGAGGTGGAGACTAAAGCGAGAATTTACAAGGCAACGGTACGATCAATAATGACATACACTGCAGAAACTCGACCTGATACAGCGAAAACTAAACAACTACTAGAAACAACCGAAATGAGAGTACTACGCAGAATAGCTGGAAAGACGCTTCTGGACAGGGAGAGAAAAGAAAGCATAAGAAGAGCGTGCAAGGTGGAAAATGTAAATGAGTGGGTACTCAGCAGAAAGGAAGAATGGAACGAGCATATCAGCAGAATGGACAAGAGAAGGATAGTGAGAGTTGCACGCGACAAATCACCGCTAGGTCGCAGAAGCTTAGGACGTCCACGAAAACGATGGAGCGACAACTTGTCAGTCTAATCGGTGGAGACGACGAAACCAAACAGGCGATTCGCCTAGTATGAAGAAGGAAGAAAAAGAATATAATGGTTACTGTAATTAAAAATCAGGCTATAAAGGTCGACTAAAATAAAAAAGAAATTTAAAATTTACTCTTCATTTTCACAAAATGTGAAATACTCCAAAAATAAGATACAAACTTAAGAAACGCGCACAAACTCATATTGGCCACTTTGGCATCCCCTGAGATAGATTAAGCCAAGCAACTTATTAAATATTCATGGCCGTGGAAGGGAGGCCCTTCTTCGCAGTGATAAAAATAAAAACGAACAGTCTTCAAGTGTTTGGCACGTAAACAAGAGACACATGACGATCTCTCCCGAGGGCTGGGGCGGAATTCATTTTGAAGGATGGACGACTTCCCGTGACAGATACGCTGAGGCATTTTTCTAGGTTATGTTGTTCATTTTTTCCTTCCCACGTGTTTATTGGACTTAAATGAGTTTGAGTCTAGTTTAGATAAGCATTTTGTTTGGGAAAAAATGTTCTTTAGAAAAGAAATTTGTTAAAAATACTTCATTAGATATTTATTAGATCATTATTTTATAGGCTTGATGCATTTCAGTTGATTTCAAAAAATTTCGACCGCAGCGCTCTAACGGCAGAAATCAGAAATTTTCGCTCTGTATTTCACGCCGCGCCGCGCCGTCCCGGTTGCAGTTCATGTTGATTGCATTAAAATAATACTGAAATCGTGGCTTTGTCATAATATACAGGGTTGTTCACCACATACGACACGGAGTATTGTAGCTAAACGATGAGATTTTTACAAATTGTAAGTTTGGGGTTCGTTGAAGGACTATTAGAGCTACAATTTAAAAATATTTTTACAAGATACAGAGTGTCCCCAGAGTATATAAAAATATCAAAGTTGTATTTTTTTAAATGGAACACCCTGTATATTATTACATTTTTAGTTTCTACGATTAAAATAAAGGTAAATTTAAGGTTTATTATACTTAAACCTTACCGTTTTTGAAATATTTTCAATTTTGTGAAATTGCAGTAAAAATTTTAAAGCTTCATTTCTCCAAGGGTATCAATGTTTTTTATACTAAATATTTAATGAAGTTTATTTATTGATCAGTTATTGTGTTGCAATAATAAAAATAATACTACCTTATACAGAGTGTCTAAAAATTTATTTGAAATAATTATTAGCTTCAAACGGCAATAACTTCTTTAATTTAAATGGAATGCCCTGTACATTTTAGGAGAATCAGATGCACAATTAAATTGTCTATCAAATTGTATTATACCATTTTTTACCTATCCCTTCAAGTTTTCGTATAAAATGCATTTTCTTATAATTTAGACCTCATTTATCAATATATCAATGGAATATTGACATTTTAGATTGTTTTTAAAGCAACAAATGTACAAAATGTACAGACTAGTAATATTATCGTTTTTAGCAAAACGATAATATTACTAGCCCATTTGTATGCAAAAAGAAAACTATTTAAATCTTTATAAAAGAGTATACCATTAATTAAATATAACACCATTATTTGCGCCCATATACTAATTAATTACATACTTAATTGTGTTCGTTATTAAATTATTATAAATAAATGTGGATTTGAGTCAGAAATCAATATAATAATAAGTTATCAAATTAAAGTCTCTGTAGTTATAAATAAGCATTTATTAAAAATTAAATATAATTTTTAAGGTGTTACTTTTTATCACACTGTCTAATGCCCATACAAAATTCAGTTTTTTAGTATTTGGAGCAATTATTATTAATCAACGCAGTCAGTTAATGTAGTTTGAATACTGGAATCATATTAATTGATCCTCTTTAACAAATATTTAAACAGTTTTTTTTTATTTTTTAATGAAATAAACGAATTATATCGACAATATTAGTATCTGTACTCTTTAAAAATTTGGGACATCTTTAAAAATAATCTAAAATGTCAATAGTCCATGGGTATATTGATAAATAAGTTCTAAATTACAAGAAAATGCATTTTCTACGGAAACTTAAAGAGATAGGTAAAAAATGGTATAATGTAATTTGATAGACAATTAAATTGTGCATCTGATTCTCGTAAAATATACAGGGTGTTCCATTTAAATTAAACAAGTTATTGCCGTTTGAAGCTAATAATTATTTAAAATAAATTTTTAGACACTCTGTATAAGGTAATATTATTTTTATTATTGCAACACAATAACTGATCAGTAAATAAACTTCAGTAAATATTTAGTATTATAAACTTTGATACCCTTGGAGAAATGAAGCCTTAAATTTTTTACTGAAATTTCACAAAATTGAAAATATTTCAAAAACGGTAAGGTTTAAGTATAATAAATCTTAATCAAATTTACCTTTATTTTAATCGTAGAAACTAAAAATGTAATAATATACAGGGTGTTCCATTTAAAAAAATACAACTTTGATATTTTTTACTTATTTGGGACACTCTGTATCTTGTAAAATTATTTTTAAATTGGACCTCTAATAGTCCTTCATCGAACCCAAAACTTACAATTTGTAAAAATATCATCGTTTAGCTACAATACTCCGTGTCGTATGTGGTGAACAACCCTGTAAAAGTATTTTAGTTTTTTGCTAGTGCAGTTATTGAAACTACAAAACACTCAGGTGCAAGGTGTGTCTGATGTAACGTTGTTTCGGGTAGTAAAAAAATAAGTGAAAAAGAATTCGAACTAGCCGTCGTGTTGTGTCGTGACAATTTCAAATATTAATAAAAATGCCAAAACAATTAACGTGTCAAGGAGAGCATAATTAGGGCATTTTTGGGTGCAATAACATTCAATAACTCAACTTTCCCGGATATACAACTCTCCCCGAAACAACGTTTTACAGCTTCACAGCTTCTTACACTGATTTGATCAGAAGCAAAAATGGATTCAAGCAGTTCGAAGAAACAAGTGAGTCAACAAGGTGCCAATCACATAATCAAAAAATTAAATAGACATATACTATGAGAGAATAAAATATAATCTGCAATATTAATGGTATACTCTTTTTTTTCAACTAGTGCTTAATTTTTTTATGAACATCTTCTAAAATTATAATTATGTACCTTCAAAAAATTCCGTTATAGCCGAAATAGCTCAAGTTGTGTCCCCACTAGCAAAACCGGTGTGTAAAACTCGCTATCGTACTTGAGCTCATCTAAAATATTTTATTAGCTATAATAAATTATAATAGGAAAGTTACACCTTCTGCAGATATCAAAATATTTAATTTTGTATTTTTTAAGTTAATCCGAAATTTTTTTTCAAAAAAATGATGATAAAACGGTTGATCTTTTGACACAAAATTATTATAATTTCGATTCCAAATATCTCGAGAAGCATTACTCGTAGCGACTTTTACCAAGTGACCTTTTTTACGTAAAAAACATCGTAAATGTATATTTTTTACTCAGTGGTTTTATACAGGTACGGACAAAAAGTTATTACTCTTCAAACCAGTTAAAACATATCCATGTGGCGCCCTCTACAAATAGGGGTCATATTGACATCAAAATCATATTTCTTACGTGAAAAAACTCCGAGACACCGATTTTCATCCAAATATTGCCGTTACTTCAGAAATTATTTGCAAAATATCGAAATAAAAATGAAACTTCTACACCCTGTATCTCCGAAACTAAGCATTTTAGAACATAAATTTATACGAACTCTTTTACTTATTTTTATCTGAAGAATATGCTGCCGAAGTTTCCGGAATACAGTTCGGACCACCCTGTATATGCCGATTGTTTACAATAATATTCTTCGATGGTGGCAGCACCGGCGGAGAATGCACCAAGCCTATACCAGTGTTTTAAAAGAAGAACATTCTTTTTCAATAGAAGAACAGCAAAAAAAGTATGATGGTTTTCGACGAAAAAACAAATCAAAATTGTCACTGTTCAAACAATATCACCTGACAAAACCTGATACCCGTTAAGGCGTCAAAAACCCAAAACACCATCAAACGATAAAAAAAACG